AAGAGTAGCCACATTGACATCCGATTTCAAATTCTTCGCCGCTTTAAATCGTCTCCACCGTTCAAAGGCATCTCCTATATAGACCCTCGCTTTGCCTCGAGTTTTGTCTTGGTGTTTTTGGGAATCATGATGAGGTCGTGTGGGTGTAGTCGCACCGTCACCCATTGTAGCTCAGTCGTAACTGTAACTGATGCTGAGACTCTACTGACTGCGTGACTGGTAGACGGCGGTGGGTGGCGCAACAGGCCAAAACACAAATTCAAAACATAAACATGATTTGCGGACCGTAATTTTTTTTTTTAATGCGAATATTCTGGCTGTACTATTATTGTCTGTGAGATCAGTATGTTATATGAACATATAGCTCCTTTAATTGACATCTGCTGTCATGTGTAGACCTTCCTGTTGGCATAAAACTTGTTAAGTGAAAGATTTTTTTGTATTCTAACTGCTAGAACAGTGAACTCTGACAAGTACTAAGTGCCGTAAAGATTAGTATTTAGTATGGATTTGGGGCTTGCCATATGTCTTAGGAAGAAGAACATACACTTATTTAATGCCAGAGGGGAAATTCAATTTTTTTCTCACTCTGTTGTCATATACACACAGGCCTGAAATACACACACATGCACAAAAAGGACCTATACATGCATTAAAAGAAGAGATGTCACTTGGTCCCTGTGGGGACAGCCAGGTCCCTATGGACTGAGGGACTGCCGGCCCAAGAGTCATAATATATGCCACCATTACAGTTCTGCACTGAGGTTTTTGTCCTCAAATCACATGAAGCCCATCTGAAAAGAAGGTGTATTTCATGCTTCAGTGGCTCCACACAGCTGAAAACAACGCTCTCACGACTGTTCATTCAAAGAGATCTATTAGGCTCATTTTCAGGGTCAAACTTGTATTTCGGGTTTTCTACGAGAAACCAAGCAGCAAGCTCTGAGACTGTTTCCCAGATGTAAGCGTGCAGCTACATGTAGCAGTGTACTAACAGAGTATAGTGGTACTTTCTACCATGGAAAATAAACAAAAAGCTTCTAGATCAAAATCTTCACAATTGAACATGTTCCAGCAGCAGTATGATTCAGAATTAGGAAAAAAATGATAATATCAGCAACCAGGATTACATGTTTCCCATGAGGAATACCATTCATAATGTCACTGCACTGTTATCGTTACTCCCCGTCTTTGCCCAGTGTGAACTCACTGCAGCATGTCACGGTACCATGACCACTGTAAAAATGCAAAGAAGAACCTTAGTTTAAGTCTTAATTTGATGATTTGTTAATTATCAGGAATGGAGCACAATGTGATGGAAATAAGTGCAGTGCTTTGTTCTTTTTTTAAATTAAATTTTGGGTAAAATGTTTTGGTACTTTTTTATTGATATTTTGTGTCTAGGAGATGCATCGTGAATAGGGCAGGGCAATATGCCAAAAAATACTGTCACGATCATTTTCCCCATATTGATCGATATTGTTATTTATCACAATATATAATTTGATAATGCTGCGAGTTTGAAGAGAATCCGGATAATGTCTGACACCTGAAGAAACCAAATGATTTTCTAGCTTCCCACGGCACTCGTCGTAAAGCTGGGGCGGAGCAGTTTGAGAAAAATATTTCCTGCCTGGAAGCTCGTACCTGCAGTCTTGCACTTTAATGAATTTCTTGAACCCGTCTGTGTTCACGTTGCTCATTATGTCTTTGGCCTGAAAGTGTGACACTGTGTCTGTTATATCTCTGCTCCTTTTCGATCGCTTCTCATACGGGGTAACGGCGGCAAAAGAGGACTCTATTGATTGCTGTTTTGGTGCAGCCCCGTTAGCGCTGCCCGCGGCAGCAGAAGTACCAGGCCATTGAACACTTAGCTGGTGGACAGTTTTGGCCCGAATTTTCATGCTCTCAGTGTAGTCGCTGGGATGCTGCCATTTCAGGTGATGGAAAAGTTTCCCGCCCAGGTTGGTGCCAACCGACAGCATATTTTCTTTGTCCATACGTCATCACCTTTCAAGTAGCCAAACCACTTCCAAATTATTGACGTTGTTTAACCTTTTTTTTATTCACAATTTTGTCTGTTTTTGAGGATAACGCCTGCTCTTCTTTAGCTTCACCGCCACTTTGCTCCTCACTTCCACTCATTTTCCTGTCCCTCCGTTATGTCCATGCTACTTTCAGTTCCCCCTCACCTTGGCTCAGTCACCTCAGCACAAACTTTGCAGTGAAAAATGGGCGTGTAGATCGAGTAAAAGTGACTATAGTTTATTATCGTCATCCACACACATTTTATTTTGATCCTGTTTCAAGATAGTTTTATCGCCCAGCTCTAATTGTGAGTAAGGACCAGTCTTATTTTGATGCAAAGATTTGTACATTAGCAGGACTGTATGGAGCATGGAAGTGAAAGCAACGCTATATTTATTTAAATATGAAAGTGCGCTAAAAATATTTTGTCCCTAAAATCAATGAATAATCGGGATAAATAATCCTGATCTCAACACTACGGTTACGGTTACATGATGGCTTCTCATTCGGAATGAAATAAATCTGAATGAAATCATTCGGAATTAAAGTCTTTCCAGGTAGTTTACATGGGAAATATTCATTCCGAATGAGGGTTTACATGGGAGATCAGTTCAATCGCCTTTATTCAGGTCTGTGCAAGGTTTGGGCCAGGGAACGTTTCTGATTGGATAGGGGGTGGGGCGGATGTTACGTGTTTACATTTACCAGAAGAAAACACTGTAGTCCTCGCTCCGGATAACAAGATGCTTGACGACGCCGTTCTTAGTGCCTTTTTTGGGCGTCTTTTGCTTATATTCTTGAAGCAGCAGTACGACAACAACCTTGTTCTGCTAATGCTTCATCTGTTGAGGAGGAGAAGGGAGGTAGAAGTTCGTGCTTTGGCAAATAGAAACCGGTGAGTGCAACGAGTCCGACTGCTCTGTCTCAGCCTGTTGCTATGCAGCCCATTGCTATGCGCGCTATATACAGTACAGGCCAAAAGTTTGGACACACCTTCTCATTCAATGCGTTTTCTTTATTTTCATGACTATTTACATTGTAGATTCTCACTGAAGGCATCAAAACTATGAATGAACACATGTGGAGTTATGTACTTAACAAAAAAAGGTGAAATAACTGAAAACATGTTTTATATTCTAGTTTCTTCAAAATAGCCACCCTTTGCTCTGATTACTGCTTTGCACACTCTTGGCATTCTCTCCATGAGCTTCAAGAGGTAGTCACCTGAAATGGTTTCCACTTCACAGGTGTGCCTTATCAGGGTTAATTAGTGGAATTTCTTGCTTTATCAATGGGGTTGGGACCATCAGTTGTGTTGTGCAGAAGTCAGGTTAATACACAGCCGACAGCCCTATTGGACAACTGTTAAAATTCATATTATGGCAAGAACCAATCAGCTAACTAAAGAAAAACGAGTGGCCATCATTACTTTAAGAAATGAAGGTCAGTCAGTCCGGAAAATTGCAAAAACTTTAAATGTGTCCCCAAGTGGAGTCGCAAAAACCATCAAGCGCTACAACGAAACTGGCACACATGAGGACCGACCCAGGAAAGGAAGACCAAGAGTCACCTCTGCTTCTGAGGATAAGTTCATCCGAGTCACCAGCCTCAGAAATCGCAAGTTACCAGCAGCTCAGATCAGAGACCAGATGAATGCCACACAGAGTTCTAGCAGCAGACCCATCTCTAGAACAACTGTTAAGAGGAGACTGCGCGAATCAGGCCTTCATGGTCAAATAGCTGCTAGGAAACCACTGCTAAGGAGAGGCAACAAGCAGAAGAGATTTGTTTGGGCCAAGAAACACAAGGAATGGACATTAGACCAGTGGAAATCTGTGCTTTGGTCTGATGAGTCCAAATTTGAGATCTTTGGTTCCAACCGCCGTGTCTTTGTGAGACGCAGAAAAGGTGAACGGATGGATTCCACATGCCTGGTTCCCACTGTGAAGCATGGAGGAGGAGGTGTGATGGTGTGGGGGTGTTTTGCTGGTGACACTGTTGGGGATTTATTCAAAATTGAAGGCACACTGAACCAGCATGGCTACCACAGCATCCTGCAGCGACATGCCATCCCATCCGGTTTGCGTTTAGTTGGACCATCATTTATTTTTCAACAGGACAATGACCCCAAACACACCTCCAGGCTGTGTAAGCGCTATTTGACCAAGAAGGAGAGTGATGGAGTGCTGCGGCAGATGACCTGGCCTCCACAGTCACCGGACCTGAACCCAATCCAGATGGTTTGGGGTGAGCTGGACCGCAGAGTGAAGGCAAAGGGGCCAACAAGTGCTAAACACCTCTGGGAACTCCTTCAAGACTGTTGGAAAACCATTTCAGGTGACTACCTCTTGAAGCTCATGGAGAGAATGCCAAGAGTGTGCAAAGCAGTAATCAGAGCAAAGGGTGGCTATTTTGAAGAAACTAGAATATAAAACATGTTTTCAGTTATTTCACCTTTTTTTGTTAAGTACATAACTCCACATGTGTTCATTCATAGTTTTGATGCCTTCAGTGAGAATCTACAATGTAAATAGTCATGAAAATAAAGAAAACGCATTGAATGAGAAGGTGTGTCCAAACTTTTGGCCTGTACTGTACGTTTATCTCATTATATGAAACTTTGACGTTTATTGTGAACATGCAACATTATGACATTATATATATGACAGAGAATAAGAATATAGTTCTAGTTATGTTCCCCTTAAACCATCCATGCATGATGAGTAGTTGTGTTTTGTAAGGCATAAATGTTGTCTCCCTGCACAGCAGCAGTCACCCTCTTAGTGACCTTTGCACTTGTTGACGCACCCTCTGAGTGCGACGTCTCTTCACCATGTGTGTATGTTGTGAACTCTGGCCCTGGCAAACATTAAAGGACAAGCCCAGTCTGCTGCTATCGTATGTCTCATGTGGCGTGAAAAGAGAGAGCCCGAGGGGTGGGGGCGGGTTGAGGATACTTTGGCTGAGGGGTTTTAGTTTCTTTAAAAAGAGCTTCAGATCTGCTGCCACAGGCCTCATAATCCAGTGTGTCGATCGTGTCGATTGTGTCCACGGTCTTTAGCCACTCTGCTGGTTGCTTTATTGGAGTGTGGTGCAGAATGGAGCTTCCCCAGCTGGAACAAATGAAGCTCCGCAGCTGTGACAGCGCAGGTGAGCTCACAGATGAACCGCCTTTGCATAGAGCATGCCAACAGAATACATAGAAGAGATGTTGCAGCAAGGTTTCTACTCTGCACATGCAGGCTATACATATGTTCATACTGACTGAGTGCAACACAGATGTATGAGAGTTAAAAATAGACTCCATGTGTCGTATTAAAGTCATTTCCTTGTTGAGTGAAGCAAATGCAGAAGTTGCTGGTGCATATAAATAGTAAGAAGTGCACAGGAAGAGAGCTGCAGGCAACTTTATAAACTTAATTGTTTGTTTACAGATAATAAAAGCTTTGCACACTTGCGTGCACAAGCAATAACAATGCAGAGTGATTCTATGAGATAGTAAAAGAGCCAGGTACCCTAACAGGTCCTCGCCTCAAACAAAAACACATGTCAACACTTGATTTTGCAAGATGATCGCCAGAGAAAGCGGCCACTTCTGAGGGGCTGCTTACTGTGTAATATTGTTTCATATGCCTTAAAAAACTCCTCTGGTGCTTTAATGTGTGTGTGCAGTCTGTGCATGAGACAGGGGAGATAGTGAGAGGAAGAGCACTCACTCCAGTCCCCCGTGGCTGTTGTTTTGGAGGATGTACTGAACTCCTTCTCAGGGCAAACGCCCAATAGAATAGCATGTACAGTACCTTCTCTTATGCCAAAACAGGAAATACTTATCATTAGTGGCTATCGCTGCCCTGCTAATCACTGCCCAAGAGAGACTGCTTGTAAGACTTTGAACACTGGCCAAAGTGGGTACATGATGTTCCCAGTTTGAAGTTAGAGGAATGACTGACATTAAGGTTTGACATTAAGTGACCCCTTCTTTTGGGATTAGGCCGGAGAAGTTTCATATGTCACACACAGGAAAAAAAAGTACAGCTGATTTTCTTTTGTCACTGGAAGGTGTTTAAAGGGTTGTTTGTCTGCTCAGAGCTGGGGCACATTCAATCTTGAAACGCTGTACGCTGTTTTGCTACGGTTTCTGGGTTGAAAGATGTTTCCTCGAAATAGTGTGCAGCAGGCTTTGAGGTGTGTTGTCTCTCACTTGGTGGGTGTGTCAGAGGTGTTACTCAGTCAGCAGTGATATGTGTATAAACCACATTCTGTAGATCTTTACTTATTGTAGGTACATTGTTTTGTGTAAATTACACACTTGCTTTGGTAATGTAAACACGTTTCCCATGCCAATAAAGTCCCTTTGAACTCAATTGAACCCAACCATAAGAAAAGGCAGCACCCTTGCAAAACACAACAGAGCTGGCTTGACAAACCCTAAAGCCCCAGTCAGAGATAATGGCGACCATGAAGGTGGTTATCAATTTGCTCTGTGAACCCAGGCTTTCTTTTCCAGGCACTGTGGACGTTCACATAAAAAGTCAAATGACGCACTGAAGGCGTCATTTGACTCTTGAGCTTCATCCCAAATCACATACTTTTTCTTTTTACTCGTAGTAGGTACTGCAGCTGCCCTTATAAAATGTGTACTGTTGCATGTGGTATGCACACAGCCAGGACAAACTACATCATCATAACATTGCGCCCTGAACTTCGACCCTGTTGCTCATATATTTGTTACCTTGGAAATAAAAGAGAAAGCTGTTTACCAAGCTCTCCAGAGATGGAGGTCAACCCGCAGAGCTCTGCTGCATACATTTTAGATTCTAACATATTATAGTCATGACAGTAGAATAACTATCATTTCTCTGTCTTTATTTTCAAAGTTTTGTCCTTTTGTTGTCTGTAATATTTGTGATTGTTTTTGTTCACTTCAACGATTAATATTCCCATTATTACTATGACGTCTCTCAAATGCTCTGTTATCCGTCATTGCGGCATCTGACAACTGTCAATGAGCTGTCAGGCTGTCATCTGTTTGCAGCTCAGTTAATGTGACTTTTCTTCTGCTGCACAAAGGATTGTGGGTCAGGAGAGCCAGAAAAACATGCTAGCCTGCATACTGCAAAATGCCACCAGATGCAGTAGAATAGTGGTTCCTAACTGGCGGGTCAGGAATCCATTCTGAATGGACAGAAAGTGACTTGCAAATATGTCAAGTTTGTAAAAAACACATTTTGTTTTTAAGTACAGTGAATTTCTGGCACAAAGCTTTTATTTTGGAGTGCCATTTCCTGCTTTAGGAGTAAGTGACCGATGGACAGCTGCGTAACAGAGACAGCAAACTAGCTTGACGACATGGTCAAACGCAAATATGACGCTGAATGTATTAATCTGTGTGGACCTTGAACTAATGACTAAGAAGAAATTTGGACCCCGTGGCTGCACCAGTTGGGAACCACTGCAGTAGATCATCCTGGTATTTTTGGCATACTGATTAACTGGTGACTCTAAATTGTCCGTAGGTGTGAATCGGAGTGTGAATAGTTGTCTGTCTCTATGTGTCAGCCCTGTGATAGTCTGGCGACCTGTCCAGGGTGTACCCCACCTCTCGCCCAGTGTCAGCTGGGATAGGCTCCAGCCCACTGTGACCCTGTGCCAGGATAAGTGGTATGGAAAATGGATGAATGAATGATATACTGTAAGTCCCTGTGGGGGGAAAAACCCAAAATGTAACGCGATACATACAGTAAGTGCTACTATAGTTACATGGCATTTAGATATCATTATGACTCACCTTGTAGGATTAAGTGTATTTATAATGTATTTCCTCAGCTGAGAATATGTATCACTCACAGACTGACATTGACTCTGCAGTGACGCTACTCAAAGAAGCTGTGAAAGGCGCTTTGTAGTTGGTTTTAAGCTGAAACTCTGAACACAAACTGGTCCCGACCAGGTTAGCCATGCAGCAAGTAACCATGGCAATCTAGCCAGGTTAAAAGAGAGCCCTCTTCTTAGGATGGAAACCCTGGCTTTAGACTTAAAGTGAAATGACTACCAACAGTAGGATACAATTTAACAGACAGAAGTGAGGTATCGATCTCCATCATCTAAATCTCCTGGCAAAAAGTTCATAAGCAGTAATGTCAAACTGTTGCTTTAAGTCAGGTTTGACATTACTGCTATTTCAGAGGATAGTGTTTGTATTCTTACAGATTAAACCCAACAGAACATAAAGTAGTTAATATTAACTCCAACTCAACCAACTACCAACTTTTAAAGGTACTCATGCCATTCTTAGCAATATAGTGGTATGATATAGTCACACTTAAATGAACCTGTGCAGAATGGGTACTTTGACTTTTGCTACTTCTAGTTCTTGCACTAAATTTAAATAGCAAAGTAATTTTAAGTTATTAAGTATGTCGGTGAAGATTCTCAGTCATCCAGGTCATGGTAATCATAAGTGCTTTATCGTAGGCAACTGGACTTGCTGGATTTTCAACTAACACCACATCCCTGTGCACTTTAAACCCAGTAACACACTGAGACACGAAACTTGTCCACCCCAAGGACAAAACACCCAGGCAGAAGCAGAGTAATGTAGTGTACGCAGTTCAGTGCAGCCAGGAATGCACAGATTTATACATTGGGGAAACAAAACAACCACTCCACAAGTGCATGGCACAGCACAGGAGAAGAAGAAGACTCAGCTGTCTGCTTACATCTACAGGAGAAGGGACACTCTTTCGAGGATAGCAGTGTGCACATCTTGGCCAGGGAAGACAGATGGTTTGAAAGAGGAGTAAAAGAAGCCGTCTGTGTCAAGCTGGAACGACCATCGTTAAATTGGGGGGGGCCTACGACACAACTTGTCACCCACCTACAATGCAGTCTTGGGATCCCTTCCCAGACGACTTCACACCCATTCATCCCTGGTCCCACCTGACCCTAATGACTCACATGTGACCCCTATGACTCTGCAAGGGTTCACACCCACACAGGGTTTAAAGCCTGCAACTCCGTACCAGTAATTTAGAGAGAAACGCAAGCAAGTCCAGTTGCCTTATGATGTAATTAAGTATGTTTATATTGTGGTAGTGTCTGTTTTACTGAAGTAAAGAATCTGAATGCGTCTTCCTAACCTCATCACATTATTAGCTGTGTAATCATACACTGGTCTGGATTAATATATCAATTCCATGATAAATAATCCAGTATTATTGATGCATAGTGAAAACATCAAATTAATTGTCCTCTTTAAGGTACGCCTTCATTTTGACATTCTCATAGCACGTTTGCATCACTATTTCCATCTTAGCACGACTCCTTCCTAAACACTCACAGGGTTCAACGTTAATTTGTTTTTTAAGAAATCCACTTTACATAACTTTTTACTTGTTCCTAAATAAATTGTGGTTATCACATGATAACAAAGACTTAAGTTCATTGTCATGAAAAACAACCCCGTTTTATCTGGCTTGCTCTCAGACTACGTGTTGCACAGTTTGTTGCAAGTTAGTTTAGCCCACATCCTCTAATGCCGGCCAATTTAACTCCTGTTCCCAGGATAATTAAAATCCTCAGTTGGGGCCTCAGTTTATAAACGTTGTCTTTACCTGCTGCCATTTTCTCTTGAGTGCCTGATTGGTATCGTGCATGTGCAACTCCCACTGGAGATGAGATGGAGACTAGATGGCTGACCCCTTAGCTACTTTCACATAATCATCTCTGAAATAAACAATGTCTTTAATTCTTTCTTCAACACTTGAACAACTGGGCAAGGGTGTTGCTAGATTTAATAGCCCAACGTAGCATTTTTCCTGCTGATCCTAATTGTTGAGTCCCTATTGAACGAGTGCTAGCTGCCTAGCGCCAAGGAGGACAATAGCAAGCAGCCAAGAAAAAGACAATGCATGTATTTACTGATATCGTCTCATATTGATCACAGGCCTCTGAATTGAGTCAAATTGAAATTGTATCATGGCAGACTTTGTGATACCAGCAGATATTATATCGTTTCCAAAGAATTGATGTATCTCTGCGTGATGAAACCTGTGATTTACTCCCCTACTCATTATGTAATTGCAGTGAATTAAAGGTCCAGTGTGTAGAATTTAGATATATAATTGAGATATATTGACAGAAGTATGTTTTCTTTAGTGTATAAATACATGAATATAAGAATCGATGTGTATTTGTTACCTCTGAATGAGCCGTTTATATCTTCATAGGGAGCAGCTCCTCGCCTATGGAGATCACCATGTTGCACCGCAATGTTTCTACAGTAGCCCAGAACAGACAAACCAAACACTGGCTCTAGATAGGGCTTTTCACATTGGTCACTGTAGCTGGCAAAACCTTTGCAACAAGAGTGTTGGAAAAACAGAGGTTTTTCTAACACACAGCTGCTTTATTCAGTGTTTTTACCAGTTTAAATCACCTGGTGCGGTTGTTTGGTAGAGGAAGAGACCTTTCTGGATAATTTGGCGCACGGTAAAAAACGCCCAAACGTCTGAATCAGAGATAAGGTGAAGACACAATAAGTTGACAATAAAAAGTGAGCACACATTTGCAGGCGCTGGTTAAGCAGCCTGTCTGCGACGTACTAAACGGGCAGGAGAATCACTAATTTGTAAGGTGAAACTGCTTTATTTAGTGTTTTTACGGGGTTCAGTCACCTGGTTTGTTTATCTTATGGAGGAAAAGACCTCTGGCGATAAATCGTCTCCTGGTAAAAACCTCCTGAACAGTGAACACTGAAGGAATTCTAACCTGGAGAAGTTTCAGCTGGTTGCAGTCTGCAATCCTCACCACTAGATGTCACTAAATCCTACAAACTGTTCCTTTAAGTGAAATGTTTTGACAGCTATTGGATGAATTGTGGTGCAGACATTCACGTCCCCTTCAAGATAAATTATACCAGCTTTCGTAATATTTTTATTTCTTCATCATGAGGACAAAATTTATATCTGTTTAATACTTTGGTTTACGACCAAATTCCTGCAGAACTAATGACGTTCAGCTGCACTTTGTGTTTAATCCTTATTAGCACATTTAGCTCAAAGCACCGCTTTGCCTCAGTTCAACTTCACAGAGCTGCAAACACGACTGTTTAATTATGTTTGATGTAACATTCACATGACTCGTCAGTCACTGTCTTTGTGCTGATAGCATTTCTCAGACTTGAAATGGCGTTCAAAATACATGCTAAGCCTCAGGGTCGATGCACATGGGACTCCCCCTGTCACCACAGTACACCTATTGTCATGATGCCATCATTGTTCAGTTTGACAACCTGCCAATCTGACTTTGTGAAAACTGTCAAACCCGTGACAACTTTAATGTCTGTATCTGTAACTAAGACAGTACAGTAGTAAAACCTCACACTCCCAAACCAATTTACTCTTAAGCACTGACACACTCAGAAAAAATCCAATTGGGTTTTCAGCCAGTATTTATTGATTATTCAGAGAGCACCACAGTAAGTAATCAATTTTGCCTGTCAGACCATAATGAATGTGATGGATGAATCAGTTGATATGCTGCAGCGCTGGACGTGGAACCACTCTGAAATTAATGGATTAATGGATACAGGATAAATACATCTATGAAGTTATTTCACTGAAGCATTTACACCCACTCTCCGGGGCGAATTCTTTCCCACACAAAGGAGCAGGCAGTCTGAGTATTATTTCACATGTGCTATTATTAATGATGAGCTGAAGCCCAGTTTCCACATGCACACAACATTTTAATATGCCCTTTTTTTTAAAGCGTCAGAGGAAATGGCATGATTAACTTGTTACTTTTATTGCTGCAGTGACAGTTTAATAACCCCAAACAATAACTATGCACTTCTCAGAGTATCCCAGATTTAACATTAAGGTTTAAACTGCCCTCTAGTGGTAAGAAAGGAGAAGCCCTGCTCTGAACTGCATGATTTTATAAACAAGCTGTGTGTGCAGGATCAACTGTGCTCATCTGAATTCATGAGAGGTTCCCACCTTTGTTATAATTGTCTCACATAACTGTCGCTCCTACTCTCACTGAAAAACCAGCTGTGTCACCACAACAGATGCACAGGCCGGTGGATTTGAATGCTACTCTGCTGTCTGACATCACCTCAGAGGTTTTGGCAGCTTCCCTCGGGCCTTTTTAAGTCATGCAACATACGGAGAGGCAGACATGCAGCATGGCCTCGGGTCTGTCCCCCCCCCAGCCTCCTGCCTACCAAGTACTTCTCCTTAGCAACAGTCAGCTGACCTGCAGTAGGTAGTGTTCAGTGAAGCACACACATGCACACGGAGCTGAGCGCCCCAGTCGTCCGCACTCACTCCTCCACCTGCCACTCAGGCCTCATGGCTCTCACCATTAACACAGAGCAGAAAAAACTCACTCAGACTCCTCTGCTCAAGATCTGGGTGCCATGGATGGGCTGCAACCTGAACCGCAGGAGAGGATGTAAGTGCAGCGGAAACAAATATAGACAAAGAAACATCTATTCTCTCTTGCTGCTGTTTGTTTTACCTCTACTTTAACTCGTTCTTATTTCAGCAGATGAAGCTAGTGTTTTCTTTAACACCTCCAGCAGCGATTTATGTGTGTCATGCTGCTGAATCTTTTCAGGACTGAGCACAGGCCTGTCGGGGGGACGCAGGTAGGCGGGCAGCAGTCTGAAAGACAGAGGAGACAGCCAGGCTGGACCAAGCCAAGTCCGAGCTGGCTCTCTGTTCAGTGTCTGACGTGGGCCTTTGAGCTTTTTGCTGAGGCAGCATACTCCATTCATAATCGAACAGCCTGGAGGCTCTGTCCCTGTCCCTGTTTAGACACACACAGGCCATACGGGTACTTTTTGTGGGTACAGCTAACTGGCAAGCATCCCTGCAGTCTGCCTTATAAATTAGTGGCATTTTTTTTTTGAGACAGACAAGCATGCAACAACTGAGTCATGACTGGGTAAGGACCACACAGACACTTTGAAATTATTTTAAGAAAAATATCAGGTTTGTGTGGAAGTTTCTGAGCTTCTTTTTTCTTCATTGTAACATTAAATAATTGTGAGTAGTGACACAGTCTGCACCTGAACCTTAGATCTGTCCATTAACATGTTGATAGCTGAGCTGATCTGTCACCACCTGCAGTGAGTAGCAGATTAGGAGTGTTTTGTTCTTGTGATTGTCGGCCATATGGTGCAGCACACTGTGCTGATCTGGTTGTTTCTAAGGTGTGACCACCTGAGGAGGAGGAGAAGCATCTGGTTAGTGAAAGTTGTCCTTCACTTCTTTAAAGGAGTATTTAAGTGAAGTTTAATGTCCTGTTTTAGTGTCTATTTGTTTTCATTCGGACAGTTTTCTGTGTCAGGTGCTGCTGACCCATTACACTAGTTTGCAGACATTTGAGCTGCACCTCTGAGCTCCTCTTCTCTCTCTCTTAATTAATGAAGTGACACACTGAACGCACATCCTGCAGCACAGAGCCTCATGGAATTGTCTGGGTTGCATTTAAAGGGATAGTTCAGATTTTTTGAAGTGGGGTTGTATGAGGCACTTATCCATAGTCAAGGTATTACCTACAGTAGATGTCCTGCTGGGGACAGGTCAGCAGCAAAATGTGTTTTAGCTACCTAAAAAGTCTATGAGTTTAAGTGTGTTAAACACTGATGGGGAAGCCTTGAATGGATTCAGTTCCCCATCTATGCTCTCAACAAATCCACCAGAATCCATTGACAAAAGCAGTCATTTTAGCTTGTTGAACATGAGAGTTGCTGTTCTACCACTGCCTCCATCAGTTAGTATGTTTGTGTTATTGGGTGACTTTGGTGAATCCAAATGAACCTTTTTGAATGCCGAAGTCACACAACAGCACAAACAAACTACATGTTCAAGGCAGCGGTAGACCAGCAGCTCCTGTGTTCAGTGAAGTTAAATCAGCGTTTTTCTCAATGGAGTCTGGCTTTGAAATCGCTGTCTGACAGCAAGTTAAAGCAGTGAAAATATTGTAAATGTAGTGTACACTTAAACTGATAATGATGTTTTCATTGGGTATGACTTTTTTAGGTGGCTAAAGTACGTTTTATTGCTGCCTCTATCAGTACATTGCTAAGCTTCTGTGCCGGTACGCCTGCCTGCTTCTCCAAATTAGGGGTGTGCTGAACAGCATCTACTGTATGTACTACACTGATGATAGATAAGTACCTCATATAGCCCCACTTCAAAAGATTCAAACCATCCCTTTAACCATCTGAACACAAGGATATATGCTCTTCTGCTGAAGGATGTGTCACATGCACAACAGTAATGCTTAAATTCTAACATCGGCAGCATTCACTAACCGTTGCTTTATGTTATTGTGTGTTTGTCTTCATCTCAGCCTCGGTGCCTCAATTTTGTAACTGTCCCACACTGATTGTGATGGTGGGGTTGCCAGCCAGAGGGAAGACGTACATTTCCAAGAAGCTCACTCGCTACCTGAACTGGATCGGAGTTCCCACAAAAAGTCAGTTTTCAGAGTGAATTCTTGAATCCTGGTTATAATTTTTTTTAAGGAGACAATGAGTTAACTGTTTTAATGTTAATTACAGTGTGACTTAATCATACATTGAACGCCATCCCAAAAAAAGAAATCTATATTTTGTTTCCCTCCTCCAACCAGTGTTTAACGTGGGCCAGTACCGCAGGGAGGCCGTCAAGATCTATAAGAACTTTGAGTTCTTTAAACCTGACAATGAGGAGGCCATGAGGATCCGCAAGTAAGAATGATAAATGCCAAATTAGACAGATCTTACTGTTATTGATATTATTAGTTTTATGTGATCTGATTTCTAGTGTCATTTTCATGCCACTTTCATCATTGACTTTTCCAGTTTTCTCTACTTTACCAATACGAGTGTAACTTCTCTCTCAGGGCCTGTGCATCAGCCGCCCTCAAAGACGTCGCTGCCTACTTCTCAAAGGAACAGGGACAAGTAGCCGTGAGTAAGAGGACAACTGAAACTGTCCCTCTAATCACAATTAAACACGCTCATAAATTATTTATTTGTGTTTGTGTTTTACTTATCACTTCAGGTGATGAGTCTCACTGACATTAAAGGGACACAGATTTGACACATAGAGATCTGTCTACAGGTCGTAGGCAGCACCACTCAGCCTGTGAAATCAGTCGTATAAGGTCTTCTGTGGACAACCATATTGATGTCTTTGTGATGTCATCAGAGTTATCACAGTATGGACTTGAAGACTACAAATTTATAACACAAAGGGGGCGGAGAGTTTAAAAGATGTAGCATTTACCTGAGAGGTATGGGCTAATAAAAGACACAATCAAGTTGCATTATGAAAGACTGTGGGATCCAATGTTTTTGCTTGACCCATATCGTGACGAAAAGCCAAAATAGCTCAGCCTCTGTGGTACAGATTGCCACCATGCTTTCTAAAATCTGCCCCTCACGTGTCCTGTAACTGTGCTAAATTCCACAAGGGGCCCTTTAACGTCTAGGTTGAGGTCATTTTCGTGAGGGGCATCTTTCTTGCTCTTTCGTTAGGACACATATTTACTTCAATACTGTGTCATTAAAGAAATGACAACATCTTTAGGTAAAACATGAAACACAGGCAGTGGTGTGCACTGGGGGGGGGGCTCGTGGCCCAATTGTTGAAAAACAATAAAGTGCCCTCTTGGGAGCCAAAATGCTCGCTAAAGTGCCCTTTTTTTTCTTTTCGCCCCTACCCTTCAAAAACTCTGTGCATGCCACTGAACGCAGGACAGTTGTGCAGTCACATGTCCCAGCAGGCATCTGTAGGCATACGTGATTAAAAACAGTCTGAGCAGAGATGATAATTAGCAAGTGGGACAAGAAATTATAAAATGATAAAGAGCTTATTTGGATGCTTGTAATATAATAAACATTTAACATGTTTTAAGGCAGTGGTTCCTAAATGGTGGGTCGCAGACCCATTCTGAATGGACCATAATTGACTTGCTGACGTATCAACTTTGTAAAAAACACACTTTATTTTGAAGTACAGTAAATTTCTGGCACAGAGCTTTTATTTTGAAGTGCCGTCTCTCCTGCTGTAGAGTGAGTGACTAACAGACAGCTACTTGTCAGAGACAACACTAGCTTAAGACATGGCCAAACACAAGCATGACGCTGGATAAATTAAAGTGTGTGGCCCTTGAACTAATGGCTAAGGAGAAATCTGGACCCCGTAACTGGACCAGTTGGGAACCACTGGTTTTAGGAATATTCTACACCCCAAATGACCATTTGTATATTAATTACTCACCCATGTTACAATGAATTTGTGAAGAGCCTCCACAGTGAACAAAGAATCCCAAAACTGGAAAAATACTTAAAGAACTGAAGTCATGTAGGTCCGCATTTAACAAATCAAAACCATGTTAAAACATCTGTTAACAAACTTTCACACAGCTCGTGCAGTATAATCCAAGTATCATTTATCAAGTTGTTTGCTCAGTTCTTCCCAAACAGACAGCCTTTAATGATGGGTAACTGAAATTATCCTGAAACCTAACTTTTCTTTCTTAAAAGTCAGACTCTGTTAACATAAATTCTAATTTTACCTCAGTGAACACAGGATCTGCTTGTCCACCACTGCCTGGCTGTTATTGTGTGACTTTGGTGATTCCAAACTAACCCTTGAAACACCAAAGGCACATAATAACACAAGCAAACTAACTGATCAAGGCAGTTTTGGACCAGCAGCTCCCGTGCTCAGTGAGGTAAAATTACTGTTTTTATCAGTGGAGTCTGGCTTTGTAGAGAACATAGACTCTTCTTGATTGATTTTCATGGAGGCATGCAAGATAAACACAGTTTCCTTCATAAATTCAAGGTAACACCTGTTAAGTTATTGATAAATGGTCATCTGGGAATTAAGCCTTCTTTTCTGACATGTGTATTTTAATCTACAGTATCATGGTGTGCCCAGTGGCCTCGTGGGTAGAGCAGGCTTCCCATTTACAAAGGCAGTGTCCTTGCTCGATTCCAGCCTACATAATCATTAAAAAAATTCTATCATATCATATATAGTAGGACGTAAAGGCTTTAACAACCTAAAGTCTTCTTTTATAGTTCAGCTGCTTGATTGTTAACAGTCATTATGAATATTGTAAATGTGCTTTATTTGCCAGTATTATAAGGATGTATTGATCACGCCTTGCTCCTGTCCCATGCAGGTATTTGACGCTACCAACACTACGAGGGAGAGGAGAGCAATCATCCTTAGTTATGCAAAGGAGAGGGGCTACAAAGTGGGTACATATGTTGATGTTGGACATTTTGGGAAATTGCTTATTATATCCTAAAAAGGATACTGTATATTTCATTTATATTACATTTATATTTTGTTTGCAGGTGTTCTTTGTGGAATCACTCTGTGATGACCCAGACATCATTACAGAGAATATTAAGGTCAGTCAAGTTTATATAATGTAGATGTTTGCAGAGGCTGTAGGGATAACATGTTCTCAATTAAATTCCAAAACTGTCTTTCCTCTCCAGCAAGTAAAATTTGGGAGTCCAGATTATGCGAATTGTGACATAGATGAGGCCATGAAAGACTTCAGGCAGCGCATTGAGTGCTACAAGGCCAGCTACATGTCCATTGACGATGAGAAGGACAGGTACTGACCCATGATGCTTTTCTTCCTGTGAGATCAAAACCATAGTTTCACAAAAGACAAATTAATTTCATAGTTTGTTTCCTCAATGCTGACTTTGAACAGGAATCTCTCCTACATCAAGATCTTTGACGTGGGCAATAGATACATGGTAAACCTGGTCCAGGACCACATTCAAAGCAGGATAGTCTACTACCTCATGAACATCCATGTCACACCGAGATCCATCTACCTGAGCCGCCACGGAGAGAGCGAACTCAACCTCTTAGGTCGCATTGGTGGAGATTCAGGCCTCTCCCCTCGAGGACTGCAGGTGAGAGGATTACATTACGTTATTATGTATTTGGATCCTTTAAGTAAAAGTGCTAATACTGCACTGTAAAAATACTCTGTAACAAGGAAAAATGCATTGAAATTTTTAAGGTTAACTTGTGTATTTTTCAACCTGGATTCTATTTTCCTATGTTTTTGTGTCTGAGTGACTCATGGGAAAGATCATTTTTGAAACTTGAAACTCTTGAAAGCCAGCAGCCAAGTAACAGGCTGCATTGTAACTACTTAGAACATTTGTGCACCATCATTTTATGTCCACTAAAAGGGCTTGTTTTTAAAACTGACAGGCTCAGAGTGTCTGACAACATTATGAAAGGGATCCCTACAGAGACAGACCTTTTTGTTAAACAGTAAGATCCTGTTTATTTCACCAGAAAAAGCCTCAAAATTGCTATTGTCAAACCCACCAGAAGTAAGTAGCACTTCATTCAAAATTATAACAAAACTCACAAAGTCCATCTTGGTCTGTCTTCCACAAACTCTGGTTTGATTGAAATAAATCATTCATTCACCCAGAAGTTGTCTTTGTCATAACAACTTGACATTAACAAGAAATGCACCTCTTTTTGTGTTAATGACAAGTTGACATAATGATTGATACAAAGACATCTTCTGGTAATGTCATCCTGGTTAATGTCAAGTTGTAATAATCAAGACAACCCAAACAATGTCAACTTGTCATCACACTTAATGACAGCAGTCATAAACATTTATGACATGTACATAATGTTTATGACAAGTTCATGACAGTGTCATGTCACCCTTATGTAGATACTTTCAAGTAAAGTGTTACCCTGTTTGTGCTCATTGTTTCCAGTATGCTAACGCCTTGGCGACCTTCATCAAAGGTCAGAATATCAAAGACCTGAAGGTGTGGACGAGCCACATGAAGAGGACCATCCAGACTGCAGAAGCTCTGGGAGTCCAGTATGAGCAGTGGAAGGCCCTCAATGAGATAGATGCTGTGAGTTTATGAAGTACATCTCTACGTCCTGAAACATTATGAAGCTGGTTTTATGTTTCTAGATGACGGTTTGAGATAAGTTCATTTAAGGTTGAATGACAGACTGTGTGTTTGGGGGTTATAATACAAAGAGTAATCACACTCCAAATGATTGAGGTTGACTTTAGAGCTGCAAACCAGAAGATCATCTGTTGTTCTTATGGTGATGTTACCTTTTCTCACTAAGGGTGTATGTGAGGAGTTAACCTACGAGGAGATTCAGGAGAATTTCCCAGAGGAGTTTGCACTGAGAGACCAGGACAAGTACCGTTATCGTTACCCCAAGGGTGAGGTAAGTGCTCCTCTCATTATACACTCTGTTGGTTGGTTGGTTGGTCGGTTGGTCCACAAACATTTCCCCACCCTTTGGGGGCAGCTTTTGCCCTAGGAGGATGAAATTTGGCATGGAGGTCAAGTGTGAGTGAAGGTGTGTTTGTGTTCATGCCAGTGGGCTAATTAGGAGCAATGGGGGTGAGTGCATTACTTCCAAATGGATTCACAGATTTGCCCAAGAGTTTGTAAAAAGATTGTTCATGAGCCAAAGGACAGCTCATTAACTGTTCATGCCAGTTGGCGAAAAGGGGCAAGGCATAGATGGAGGCAGGTACACTGTCACAGCTGTTGCGAATTTTGATGAGGACACTGATACATTTGATATTTGTCTGTGAAATATAAAGCTTCAGTCAGGAGACAGTTAGCTTAGCTTAGCTTAGCATAAAGACTGGGAACAGAGGGTAGACCGTTAGCCTGGCTCTGTCCAAACTCTGGATAACAAAGTTGTGGTTTCATGAGGGGTTTCATGTGTGACTGTTACTTGGCTGGCAAGCTGACATTGGTGATAACACTCCAGGAAGCCACTGCGGGGGTTTTTAACATATAAACAAGCAAGCAGTGGTAAATAAGTACTTAGATCTTTTACTTAAGTAAAAAGAACAAGACTACAGTGTAGAAATACTCTACATGCATTCAAAATTTTACTGAATTCTCTCACCAAGAAAGGGAATTTGTGTATTTCCTAAAATGTTGAACTGTTCCTTTAGGGGCTTTGTTTAAGAGTCACATATTCATTATAAGATAATCTGGACAAAGTCATGTGGGGTCAGTTGATAATGTTTACTTGCCTGTGTTAAGTGGACTGAGAGGGTTAGCTGGAAAGAGTCTGGTTGAATAATTGATGACCTCTTTAATAATTCCGTCTCTTTTCCAGTCCTATGAGGACTTGGTCCATCGTCTGGAGCCGGTGATCATGGAGCTGGAGAGGCAGGAAAACGTCCTGGTCATCTGCCACCAGGCTGTGTTTCGCTGCCTGCTGGCCTACTTTCTAGACAAACCTGCAGGTGCAGAAATCCAGGCTTGTAACACAATATTACATGACGTTGTTTCAAAACCACAAACACTCCTAACAAGCTTTATCTCCCTCCCCCTGAAGACGAGCTGCCTTATCTACGATGCCCCCTTCACACGGTGCTCAAACTCACACCAATAGCTTATGGTACGTGATGAATGCTTGAGTGTGTGACATATCCAATCTCTGTAAATCTCTTCCTGACTGTCTGGCTCTCTCTTCAATCTCAGGCTGTAAAGTTGAGTCGTTTTTCCTCAATATTGAAGCAGTCAACACACACAGAGAGAGGCCAGTGGTAAGTTTCCACATGCACACGTTCATCATAATAAATACTTAGCTTTGCCAACTATTCTGTGGTGCATTACATACGTCGTATGGCAGGCAGCAATGTTTAGTAATGTGTGTATTGATGGAATGAACATGTACAGTGGTGAGGAGGGAGCAAAATATGGCTGAAGTCATTTTATTTTTTCATATTAGGATAACAAACAAAAGTACTTATCACCACATTCTCAGACTTTAAAGTTTAAGTGTTTTTAAAGATTATTCTTAGGACTTTTTTGCCTTTATTATAGTGCGGTTGTAGGGTGACAGGAAAGGAGGGACAGGGGGTGATACACAGCAAAGGGCTACAGGTTGGGGCGCCTGGTGGCTTAGTCGGTAGAGCAGGCGTCCCATATATGAAGGCAATGTCCTTGCTACAGTTTCTGCAGGCTCGACTCCAGCCTGCAGCCCTTTGCTGCCTCTCTTTTACCCCCTTTCACACTCAGACTGTCCTGTCTAATAAAGGCAAAAAGCCCAAAAAATAATCTTTGAGAAAAAAAAGGGCCACGGGTTGTATTTGAACCTTGGCTGCTGCAAAGGACTCAGCCTACATGGGGCCCACACTCCACCAGGTGAGCCAGAGGTTGCCCTTAAAGTGAAACTTAAAAAAAAAAAGTGTCACACTCTTCCTGTCGTAATGAAATGTTTAATTCATAAGCAGTACGGCTGTACCCACGCTCAATTCTGCACACTTAAATTCTTTGCTGCTGCAGCCTCAGGCCAGTGTTAGTTAAATCTGACAACTTTAAGTTAAGTTTGCTTTTAGTGGAGTGAGTTTGCCGACTTGCGTATTCATGCTACTCTTACACTGCGTTTGAACATGTCATAGATGACCATGGAGATGTAGTTAAAGTAAATGACAGGAAATGCAGTGTCATGTTATCCTGTAATTGCCACGTGTGGCTGCAGTGGTCGCTGCTCAGCAGAGGTTACATCTCCAGACTGCAGACTGATTCTGTACAGTATTTACTGTAATGTTTAGCAGTCAGTATACAAAAGAAAATGAACACACATAACTGCGTCATACTACAGGACTTTGATTATATTAAACTTTATTATCATTGCACAGAGAACAATGACAGTAAGGGGTAGATATAAATATACTAAGATGCACAGTATTGAACATATTTTTACACAACTAGTTTCTAATTTCTTCATGTGTATTTAATAACCACTGCAGTGTCACATGATGTTCCTCCTGGGATCGATTACATGACTGACAGTGTGGACAGTGTGATATAGGTCAGCTAGATATAAACAGTATCAACAGTACAACATGTGCAGCAGTTGCAGTCTCTGCTCATTTAAAAAAGGAGGTTTATAATTACTCGTCCACTGTTGCACTTTGTTTCATAGACAGATGATATGGTTTTCATGATTTCCTTCTCATTTCTACATTGTCCATATATTTATATCTTTCTCAAAGCATGCACAATACTTTATATACATCCTCTATATTTATTTTCATTGTATGTAATTTGACATGTTTGTGGTGCACCACTGAGCCGTCATGTTGACTGTGTATTGTTTCGAGTTGATTCTAGCAGGGTGGAGCACTGTTGCCAAAGCAAAAATTGCCTCCATGGACAATAACGTTTATTTTATCATATCTGCTTTAGATGAGATATACAGAGAGTATAGATGTAATAATAAGTATGTATACACAATGACTGCAAGTTAAACTTAAATATAGAGTAAAAAATATGATTTTTTTCTTTTTGGAGCTGTTTCACCACCCAAATATAGATGTATACAGTATATATAAACTAAGCACAAAACGTAAGGAAATTTGTGTTTGGTAGATTATTTCTTGGTTGTAACAATTCTTCTTGGCAATAAATCTTATACCACTGGAAAGTCTGTTTATTTCCCTTTTAAATGGTGCCACATTTGTAAGGAACATGCATTTGTGGGATGAGCAGCAGAGCTGAGTATGTGGGTTGCGCCCATGAAAAATTTGCCAAATCTTCTCTGTTGACTCTTGTTTGGTGTTGTTTGGTGGACTGGATGATTGAAGTCTGAAGAAACAAGACATATTGGCAATTTAACAAGTTATTCATTAACGAACCGGAGCCTCAGTAGCGTGTGGAAGAACCATACACAGCCACAACAGCCTGGCACCTCCTCCTCATGCTGGTCACCAGCCTGGTCACACACTGCTGTGGGATGGCATCCCATTCTTCAACCAGCATTTGTTGCAAGTCAGCCAACGTGGTTACGTTGGTCACTCTGGCACGAACAGCACGCCCAAGCTGAGTGTGTGTTCAGTGGGGTTGAGGCCAGGACTGCTGGCAGGCCATTCCATCCTCTCCACTCCCAAATTCTGGAGGTAGTCTCTGATAAACCCCGCTCTGTGGGGGCGAGCGTTTACATCTTGATAGAGTTCGGTCCCAGACTGCAGAGATATGGGATTGTCACTGGTTGCAGAATTTCATCTCGATATCTCTCTGGTGATTGTCGGCACCTGGGGGAACCAGAAGCTCCTTACAATGTGGCACCATTTAAAAGGGAAATAAACAGACTTTCCAACGGTATAAGATTTATTGCCAAGAAGCTTTGTTACAACAAAGAAATAATCTACCAAACACAAATGTCCTTAATTTTTGTGCTAAGTTTATATATATGTATGTATATATATATATATATATATATATGT